CTATATTCGAACACACCTTGAATTAAGTCTAATGATAACCTAAGTTAGCTAAAACGTCAACATCCTATCAGAACACAATTAATACTGACTAATTTTTGGATGTCACGTTCGGTTCAGCTGAGTATAGCCTGTATCATCAATTATAGTAAACAACAGAAATTATACATGTGTATGGACTAGAGACTATAGAGTACGAATTAAATACATAATTAGAACATTCAAATAAAAACCAAACTTTTTTGTAACAAAGAACAAACCACTCAAGCTAAGCTCAGTAATTTTAGATTTTATTCAAAATCGTTTAAGAATACAAAATGTAGACAATAGCATGTTACAAATTAGTACAGGTGGAATAATGAGCAAGTTGCCGAAAAAGATAAAAAGAAAGGCAAGTTGCCCAAAAAAACAAAGTGAATGTGCAAATTTAACCAACCAGGAGACAATGCGATTCCGCCTAACAGAAGAAAGAAATTTATTATTTCAACCTTTTTTTACTCTCTATGTTTCGATAGTTTTGGCAAGACAAATATAAAAACGTAACAGTACAAGAGAAGAATTGAAAGAAAATAAAAGAAGAAGATTACAATCTTATATCTTTTAATTCTGCCCCCCTACATTTTCACTTTTGTTATATATATATCCCCTCTTTTTTTTTCATTTTATAGTTTTCCCCAATCTCAACCATTTACAATTAAATCGACTTCCCCCTCTCAAACCGATCCAAACCGGTCCAAAACAATAGCAGAATTCCAAAAGAATCAAGAAACTAAACCGAAAAATAATAAAACGTAAAAATTTAAAATTACTTCACCGGTTTAAATCCAGTTTTCACTTCTGGTTAAGCAATTTGGATCTCTTCCTAGCTTCGCTGTAGAGAACCACTCCCATAATCGTGACTCCGAATCCGGCAACTCCCATCACCGTCACCGGATTCCTAAATATCAGAACCGACACTCCGGCTGCCACCGCGGCTTTCCCGTTCCCCAAAACCTGTAGAGTGAGAGCACTCGTGTGCTTCGTCACCAAGAAATTCGTCAAATTCACTAAATACGCCACTGTCGCATTCCCGGCGAGCAAGAAGATGATCAACGGATCCGTCCTCGCCTTTTCGATTAGGATTCTTAATACATTTCCTTCAATGTAGAGTGAAAATGGTAATAAGATACAAGCCGCCATTGGCGCCATGTAGAGCAGAAGATTCATCGAATGTAGCTTCTCCGACTCCGACGACAGAATAATCCCCTGCACATTCACAAAAACTCAATCAAACCAAACCAAATCAAACCGACAAAATTCAGATCATTACCCAGGAAAAAATCGGATTGAAACTAAATTCGAACACAATTTCGGTCATACGAATAATAACCGGACCAAACCGATAGAATCCGGACGAAATTCGGAAGCAATTTCGGTTTCCATTCGATTAACAGGAAAATCGAGAAAACCAAACCGGTTACGGTTAATTTTTCATACCTGGACGACGGATTTGAGAGCTCTGCCGGCGGTGGAAGCGACGCAGATGAGGAAACCGAAGAGATGAAAAGAAGGTTCGGAGTTAGAAGCGAGGACGATGCCGGAGACGACGGGGAGGAGAGCTAAGTAAACTTCAGTGGACTCAGTTTTACAGGTGATGAGGAAAGAGAAGATGGCGGTGAAGAAAGGCGTGGTGGCTCCGATGGCCTGATTGAAAGAGACAGGGATGTAACGGAGCGAAGTGTTGCCGCACACGACGGAGAGGCAGAAGATCGCCGAGAGAGAAAAGATCTTGAGAAACTGACGGCGCGAGAGGATGTGCTGACGTGGAACGATGCCGGCGATGTTGATCGCGGCGGAGCTGTAGGCGGCGCAGGAGAGCATGTGCGTCATTGTGAGGAAGATTGGGTAGCGGAAACCGTAGTAGAAGAGGAGGTATTTGTTTAGGAGGAGGACTCCTATGTTTGAGCCGAACCAGGCGGCGATTATAGCCGCCGTGAGAACGGCCGGAGATACGGTGGGTGAGGAGAGGAAGAAGGGTTTTCCGGTGGATGATGTGGAGGAGTGTGGAGGTGTTCCGGGGATGTCGACGATTGTTGGTGCGCCGGTTGCGGCGGCGTCGAATCTCGGGTTGCTCATCCGCCGCGTCGTCCATGATTGAGCTTCCACCATCCTCGTCAGGGGCAATATAGGAATAGTTAGTGGTCTCTCTTTATTCTGCTATAGAGAGAAACTTTTTATCTCTTTGTGGTATTTGAGATCTGAGAGTGAGAGGAAGGAAGGAAGGAGAAAGGAGAAGGAAGATGATGAAATGGAAATCGGACGGTGGAGGTTCAGATTTAGCGGTAAATGTTTGGGTTGATATCAGCCGTTGGATATGATAGTTGGAGGGAATTGATTAATTTTAAAATTAAAAAAAGGAAAAAACAAATCTAACAAAATTAATTTTAAGATTCGAAGTCTTGTGTTCGGAGTCTAAGCATGAGTCAGAAGTGTCGGTAGTAGGTCCACATTTGAGAATTAAGATCCAACGGAGGCAATCTTCTATGACGCACCCTAATTACATTACAACCCCACTGATTAATTATTAGCCTAACCTTTTTCAAGTTTTGTTTTAATTATTGTGCCTAATTCAATAGTAGCACTGGTGGTGTTACAGGAATGGATAATCATAAAACAAAACTGATTAATGGACATGTTAAGTTATTACAGTACAATTACTGTGATGCAAAGACATGATTTGTGTCTTGTAATTAATCCTACGAACTATGTACATAGTACTAAATGTGTAACAAGGTTTGTTTTTATTTTTTCAAGTTATATTAAGTCCTAGATTTTTCATCTTCTAGGTTTAAGTGGTTCAGTCTCTTAGGTGTAAGTTTTTTTTTGTTTTTTTGTACATTTTAATCATGAACTGATAGAAGAATGATTCATTAAATTATTATAAAAAATGTAATTGGTCAACGTGTTTATAGATTTTAAAATAATTAACATTTGACCGTAGTACGTTTTAATAAATTTCGTCACAACTATCAAAATCAAATCAGATCTGTGAAGTAATAACACGATTTTTCTTTTACATCAGCATTAATCACGCATTGAGTTTGTCATAAAATGACTAAACATACGTCTGTGTTATGTATCATTGCATGTGACTTGCCTTGTGACTTGCCTTGTGATATCTTCTGGTTTATCTAGTTACTATTTAGTCACTAAAAGTTCAGTACCAATTATGGTAAAAATATATCTGTTAGCCAATAGAATGCAATATGCTTCACAGAATTTAATGCTGATTTCTGTAAACTATTTTCTTTTTAATTCAAGGGTATTAAAGAAAATAGTTTACAAAATTTCTTTATTGCATTCTTTTGCCACTGATCATGCATGCGATTGCTAATACCCAAGGTAAGTTTTCTAAGACGACTTTAATAATAATAATCACACATCACTTTTCCAGTTTTCCTTGACAAATGAAAAAGGAAATAACAACTTGCACCACCTGGATTTGAACAAAATATCCTTCATGTGAAAGGAAAAAAATAACATAATTGAATAAACTAAAGTGATTGTCCCACATTGAAAAAGAATCCACATATGAAAGATGAAACAGCTAAATCATGAATATTTGTTTTGTATTATACGATATCATCTGAAGTTATATGTCCAAGTTTTAGCCGCTAAACCAAGGCCTCGTGGCCTAGTGGTAAAGGGGTCACAGCTGTGACTTCCGCCATTTGGGTCGAGTCCCCTTGGCCACTCGGGCTGCCTTACATGGTAAAAATATGCAGACTGCTGTGGGCTTCGTGGGATTATTCTTTGGGTCTAAAAAGCCTTTAGGATCCCACGGTTAAAAAAAAAAAAAAAAAAAAAAAAATTTAGCCGCGCATCTATCAATGAAATCATTTTCTCCTTATCACATCGGTCCATTCCCATTTTCTTATCGTACACTAGTGTTTTTGATTCTGTAGATAATAAGATCTCAAATTATATGGTTACATTATAAACACATACTACATGGAAGACATAAGTACTTATAGAGAACTCTAAATAATTATCATATACACGAGGGTATGTGATACGAAGGAGCTATCTTTACTTAGAAGGACCAGCAAACTTTATCTGTCTCTTTGCATTAGATAGATAATGAAATGTCTCCTTTTGTTAATATGACTTGAGACAGAATCCAATGAAAATGATGATAAATGATTATGCCACGTCGCTTAGTAAGAAACTTAAAATGATGGACGTCTAGGTATATTACATCTTTCTAATGACCCCATTAATAGAAACCAGAGAACGTACACAAAATGTTTTAAAATCCGAGGATAACATTTTGTTAAGTCTAAATTTTGAAGTTTTATACTACAGGCAAGTAGTTTTTTTTTTCTTGATACAAAGTTAATTAAAATTGCATAGTAATGATTTATTTAAAGCACATCATCATATATGTTCTCGGCTTTTTTGGTATTCAAAATTCCATGATTGATTTAAACAGTTGTTACGTTTACGAGGATAAATCAAGTGGACCAGACTCTGTAGTAACCATTTGTTTCCATGTGCGACCCAATTCTAGTAGGCCCAAACAATAGTGGGACTAAAGCTATTTGCAATGGTGGGGCCTTAACAACGAAATGTTATCTAAAACATTTGGTCAATATAAATTTAAAAAAAAAAAAGATAACTATTAGAAGACAATTGGCTTCGCCCGGGTTCGAACCGGAGACCTTCAGTGTGTTAGACTGACGTGATAACCAACTACACCACGAAACCAGATGTCCATTGAAATATCTACACGATTTATATACTCCACCAAATTACGAAACAAAGCTCTGCAATTACAGACGCTCACTCTATTTTTTGTTGGTTTTAAGCACTCACACTCTTCGTCGTATTAAGCTGTACTTTCATCATACAATCACACACAGAGTTTGATACAATACAAAAAAAGCTTATGTTATTTCAATACAAATATCAAGTTTTGATCCAAAACAAGTCTCAATTGCTACAAACCATAATCTATTGTCTTCTTATGCCTTACTGGTCAAGAAATCACTGTCTGTAGCTTCCCAAATGACAGTACCATCACAAGTACAAAGCTTCTTGTAATTTTCTCCAACTCCTGCGCTTCTGGCAATCACTGCAGCGGTCAAACCGGGGACTGATTTCGTATCCTCAGTCTTGTAAACCACGACGGCTCTCCCGATAAGATCAGCAACCTTGAGCTTCTCTTTCTTTCCAGAGTAAAACGCCTCTCCGTTTTTGTCTGCCTCTAGTGTTCCCAGGTCACCCAATGGCTGACAAAACAAAAACAAACAAAAGACGGAAATGGTTATGATCTTTAGAGGATTGTGATGATACTTTTTGTGTGTGTTTTAAGAGTGAGTTTGACCAACCTCTGTGGTGGTATGATCTTGAGATGGATTGTACAAGTTCCCTGTGGTGGCTGCTCCGTTTGTGAGATCTCCATACTCGTTGATACACCAGCTGTGTGTTCCGGGAGACAAACCGTTGAAATTGGCTTCAATTCTTGCAAGTTCCATACTCACCTGAGCAAATCGTACCACTCCAAAGATTTCAGGTCCTTTGAATTCAGCTACTGCAGCTGAGATCAAGAAATCTGCCAAACGCCGTCGCAAAGCAAATGTAACAAATGAGAGAAAAGAGGTTTATCAAATGAAACTGAAACGCAGTGTGTTGAAGAGAACGAAGAAGGAAGTGACCGGAGAAGAGAAATCTAACCTTGAGGAACACCTTGTCCAATTAAGCGAGCTTTTCGTCCGGTTTGCTCCAAAGCTTGAGTCATAGCCATTACAGGGGAAGATCCAAGTATCCTCACAACTTGGTTTGGCAAATCAACCTCCACGTTCTCAATTCCTTATTTCAAAGATCAAAATTTCCATTACAAAATGATAAAGCAACAACAGAGTAAATCACAACCAAACAGAACATAGAGATTACGTTATTAATAACAATCTCCTACTACTAACCTTCAATGGTTTCTAACTTGTTCTTCACGGCGTTAACGCAACCCTCACATTTCATATCCACCATAAACTCAGTCTATGAACAACAACATATTAAGAAGACACAGAACGTAAGTTCTCGGTATCTGAATCCGAGATTGTCGTATTAATTGATCAGAAATTGTCAAATTGAAATCAATTCCGAATTCCAGATAGGAAAGAGAAAGACTTACAAGGAGCTGAGGCAGGACTCGATCCTCCTGCAAATACAAAAAAAGAATCCAGCTACTTAAATACTGAATCATCGAATTAGGAAAGGGAAAAAGCTAAAATTGGAATATTGGGTAGCTCAAAAGTTAGAATTTTAACAAACCTGAAGGGGTTTACGATCAGAAGCGGGAACGGTCGTCATGGGAGAGCTAGCGAAGCTTCGGGAAAGCCCCAAGGGACGTGGAGACGATCGGTTGAGAAAGGAGAAATTGAGACACTGAGATTTAGGATTGGCAGAGGACGAAGAAGAAGAAGAAGAGGAGGAGAAGGCGATTGCGATGGGAATCGCAGACGCGGCGGCTACGACGGCTGTAGTCGTTGCCACTGACCTCAGAATTGATGCCATTTTCAGCTTTTTATTTTTGATCCCATTCACATTCACAAAGTCGCTACCTTTAGAAAAAAAAAAAAAAAAAAAACAGAACTAACCGGTGACACCTACTCCCTTCTAGACTTCAAAACAGAGTTCAATTCTAGTTAATTTTTTTTTAAGGTTTTTAAAATAATTGTGGAATTTAATCAGGTAAATAATCTTGGTATAGAAAATTATTTTTGGGATTTTATTCATTTAGTAAGTTTTTATGGATACAAATTGTATCATACAATGACATTTTTTTAGCCAAAACCAGGAGGGAGTTCAGGATCTTCTTCATCAATATTGTTGTCAATGTTTTTAGATGCTTCTCCTTTGTTGTCTTCTACAGCTCTTTGAATCAGCTCTTGCTTCTGTTTGCTCGCATCTATTTGGGGACAGAGTATATTTCGGACTCCTAACCTCTTCCGGTTCCCAAATTTGGTCCATTTGATGTTCCTCCCTTGGATTGAGACCGTTTCACTCATGTTTGTCCTCATAGTCATGTGTAGAACCTATTAATCCATGTTTGGGTAAGTATGGGTCCATCTAGTTCATCTTATACACTACAAGTGAGTTTCCTCAATGTGGAGTCACAGAGGTACATTTCGGACTCCTTACCTCTTCCGGTTCCCAAATTAGGTCCATTTGATGTTCCTCCCTTGGATTGAGACCGTTTCACTCATGTTTGTCCTCATAGTCATGTGTAGAACCTATTAATCCATGTTTGGATAAGTATGGGTCCATCTAGTTCATCTTATACACTACAAGTGAGTTTCCACAATGTGGAGTCACAGAGGTACATTTCGGACTCCTTACCTCTTCCGGTTCCCAAATTTGGTCCATTTGATGTTCCTCCCTTGGATTGAGACCGTTTCACTCATGTTTGTCCTCATAGTCATGTGTAGAACCTATTAATCCATGTTTGGGTAAGTATGGGTCCATCTAGTTCATCTTATACACTACAAGTGAGTTTCCACAATGTGGAGTCACAGAGGTACATTTCGGACTCCTTACCTCTTCCGGTTCCCAAATTAGGTCCATTTGATGTTCCTCCCTTGGATTGAGACCGTTTCACTCATGTTTGTCCTCATAGTCATGTGTAGAACCTATTAATCCATGTTTGGGTAAGTATGGGTCCATCTAGTTCATCTTATACACTACAAGTGAGTTTCCACAATGTGGAGTCACAGAGGTACATTTCGGACTCCTTACCTCTTCCGGTTCCCAAATTAGGTCCATTTGATGTTCCTCCCTTGGATTGAGACCGTTTCACTCATGTTTGTCCTCATAGTCATGTGTAGAACCTATTAATCCATGTTTGGGTAAGTATGGGTCCATCTAGTTCATCTTATACACTACAAGTGAGTTTCCACAATGTGGAGTCACAGAGGTACATTTCGGACTCCTTACCTCTTCCGGTTCCCAAATTAGGTCCATTTGATGTTCCTCCCTTGGATTGAGACCGTTTCACTCATGTTTGTCCTCATAGTCATGTGTAGAACCTATTAATCCATGTTTGGGTAAGTATGGGTCCATCTAGTTCATCTTATACACTACAAGTGAGTTTCCACAATGTGGAGTCACAGAGGTACATTTCGGACTCCTTACCTCTTCCGGTTCCCAAATTAGGTCCATTTGATGTTCCTCCCTTGGATTGAGACCGTTTCACTCATGTTTGTCCTCATAGTCATGTGTAGAACCTATTAATCCATGTTTGGGTAAGTATGGGTCCATCTAGTTCATCTTATACACTACAAGTGAGTTTCCACAATGTGGAGTCACAGAGGTACATTTCGGACTCCTTACCTCTTCCGGTTCCCAAATTAGGTCCATTTGATGTTCCTCCCTTGGATTGAGACCGTTTCACTCATGTTTGTCCTCATAGTCATGTGTAGAACCTATTAATCCATGTTTGGATAAGTATGGGTCCATCTAGTTCATCTTATACACTACAAGTGAGTTTCCACAATGTGGAGTCACAGAGGTACATTTCGGACTCCTTACCTCTTCCGGTTCCCAAATTAGGTCCATTTGATGTTCCTCCCTTGGATTGAGACCGTTTCACTCATGTTTGTCCTCATAGTCATGTGTAGAACCTATTAATCCATGTTTGGGTAAGTATGGGTCCATCTAGTTCATCTTATACACTACAAGTGAGTTTCCACAATGTGGAGTCACAGAGGTACATTTCGGACTCCTTACCTCTTCCGGTTCCCAAATTTGGTCCATTT